ATATTAATTTGAGAGTAAATTTGTATTTTAAAATTTAAGAGACAAAGATGATAAGTTTAAAAAACATAATAAACCAAGTTGATAAAAGTTAACTTTAACATACTAAGTCAACATCTGAAGTAAACTTGAATGATTAAAATTTTTATTATTCCATTTTTAAAAGGATTTAAATATTGATTCAATAATTTTATAAAAAATAATTTAAAATGTGTATAATAGAATTGTATGAGCGAATAAAAAAGACTTGTATAAGTAATTATAAGTAAATAAATATAATGATAAAAGTATAATTAATTATTTTTTAAAATTTTCAATCAGATGCACATGAATGTTATGTGAGTTTGCTGTTTCATTTTTACTTTTCATATTTTGGTGTAGGATATTTTTTTTAAAACACTATATACTTTGGGCCTTCATGATTTTGATGTTGAACAGACATTTTCTTAACAGTTTTTTTTATTAAGTCTACTTTAACTAGGCCTCGTCAGCCCAACTTCACCTTTAATAGAAGGGCCCACATCAATTCTATAAAAAACACAGAAGCTAAAAAGAAGGGTGCTCGGTAGAATTGGCAAGAGTTATTATTGACTTTCCTCAAAATGAAGGTTTGAATTTTAGGGACTGACAAATACAATAATTAATGCGGCTTTAAAGAGGTCGTCCTATCAATATCTCGCTACTACCATAAAGTTTCCTTAGGGAGATCTAGATTAATTCGAGACGGGTAATGAACTCAAAATATTGGATGATTTATATATATATAAAAAAAAATGGAAGTGAAATCAAATGAAGTCAAGAAGAAGGATGCTCGGTAAAATTGGCAAGAGTTACTATTGACATTCCTCAAGATGAAGGTTTGAATTTTGAGGACTGACAAATACGATAATTAATGTGGCTTTAAAGAGGTCGTCCTATTAGTATCTCGCTATTACTGTAAAGTTTTCTTAAGGGGATCCGGATTAATTCGAGACGGGTAATGAACTCAAGATATTAGATGATTTATATATATATATATATATATATATATATATATAAAGAAAGAAATGGACGTGAAATCAAGTCCCGCTTTCACGCCCAACTTTTGAATAGATCTAAATCCTTGACGCAGCGAACTTTTGCGGGTCGCTGCACGGCATATAAATCTAAGCCTTTCATGCAATGCAATCATCTACATTAAGCCACGTCATTTGAGTACCTTTGAACCTGCACACACACATATATTTCTGCCAACTCCTTTCGACTTTAGTGTTTTTAATTTATAGTTTTATTTTATATTTATCAAAATTAAAAATTAAAAAAATTTAATAAATTTATTCATCACCAGTAACCAGATTTAATGTGAATAATTTAAATTTATAATAAAAATTTTATAAATTTATTATCTACTTTATTTTAGCTAGTTCCAGATTTAATATTAATTTTTTATAATTTTTATTTTAATAATTAAAATATTAAAAATAAAGATAATATCTTGAAGATAGCTTTTCATAACATATTTTTTAAAAAAATTACAAGTTAAAAAGTTTAAATCTAAACTATCTAGATTCTAAAATAAATTTGAATCATTAATTTATAAAAATTATAAGACCAACATGGGTTTGAATGATTCAAATTTTATATTAAAATTTTTTATAAATTAATTTTCTAGATTTACTCTATCTGGTCTAGATTTAATATTAAAATTTTATTTGATAAATATAATATTAAAAATAAAGATAATATCTTGACAGGTTTTAAATCTAGACTATCCATATTTTAGAATAAATCTAAATGATAAATAAAAAAATTATAAACAAATTTTATATTAAATGTGGATAGTCTAAATTAAATCTCAATTGCTCAAAGTGGTGATGAGTGGATTCATTAAATTTTTTTAATAATTTATAAATTTTTAAATTAATGGGAGTTGAATCTAATGTAAAAAAATAATATAACGAACTAAGTTTTAAATTTTTATTAAAAAACATGTCTATATTTAGTGTTTTAAATAAAATTTCATTTAATAAAAACATAAAAATAATAAAAAAATAATTTGTTTAATTTTATTTTAATAAATTATCATGCATGACCACCAATGAATTTGGAGATCCTTGATGAAGGGGTTCAGTTTCAAAGGCAAGGGCTTCCAGAGGGTTCTTACAGATGGGTTGAAAAGTACTCAAATGACGTGGCCTTACATGGATAACTGGCTTACATGAACGTTTTAGATCTATGTGCCGCTCAGGGTTGTGCAGAATTAGGCCACGTTAGGATCTGGATCTTTGATATATTTTTTTCTATTATCTCCTTTAAAAAATATAAAACATTTTTAAAAATTAAATATTAAAAAATATAAAATATTTTTAATTTTTTAGATATAATAATTATTTTTTAAAAGTGCCTCTATTAAATAAATTATTTTATATTTATTTTACGGTGAAACACTTTATTAAATAAAAATAAATATAAAAAAATGATTAATTTAAAAATAATTAACTATTATAAGATTTACTGTGTACTTTATTGAGGGAGTATAATTTAATTAAAAATATCTTATATTATTTAAATGGTGGGAATACGTGATATTATTTAAATGGTGGGAGTATGTGTGTATGTGTGTGTATATATATATATATAACTTTTGATCAATCACTGTGTACAGTCCTATACAATTCACTGTCGCATACTGTGTTTGTCCAAAAAAATACAAGTTTTTACATAATATATTATTATTATTATTATTATTATTATTATTATTATTATTATTATTATTATTTAATTAAATAATTTGCCTCCTTTGGTAATTTACAACATAGTGTCGTCACTAGCCACTTCTCTACTGTTAATAACAATCTTTTAAATTAACTCCATAATTTAACATATACAAATTGTATATATTAAAATTACATTAAAAAATATATAACACAAAAATAACAATTTGAACCCCTGCATTGATCTGATTTTATTGTCCAAGAAAATTCTGAGGGATTTCTCCAGGCTTTCCAGAGCATTAATCATACATTAATAAAAACATGTAGCAAATTGAACTAGTTGGACTGATTTAAAATTGTAATCGTAAAATGGGATTTTAATTTGAACCTAACTTTTAGTGATAGGTTGCCGAAAGATACATTAGCGTAGTGAAGAGAAGTTGACGCAAGTGGGGTTTGTAAACGAACTAAAGGTGGTCAACTCGGAAAATCAATTTTATTTTTCTGAATTATAAAATTAAGAAATTTTAAAGTTGGGTTTAGAAGTCTAATTTTTTTTTTGACTCAACCTTATTTAGACCATCTGAATAAATTTAAAGAAATCCGGATCAATCTCAAACCCTAATGGGCTTATCCCATATACCCAAAAATTTTTACTTATTAATAGTAAAATAATATTAAAATAAATATAAATTGAAAATATTAATTTTTTAAAATAAAAATTGAAATTAAAAAATAAAAAATAACAATAATATTTAATAATTTAAATATTCAAACTAACTTAAATAAGCCTAAAAGCTAAAAATGTTAGAGTTGAACTTGGTTATATGGATTTTTTTATATGTTCAAGTATTTTAAGTCTAAATTAAATAACTCTGACTTGTTATCGGCTCAATGTAAATTATATGGAGCTTTGAGATAGGCCAAGACAAATTTGAGTTGTTTGATTTTATTCCCTTTTATTATTTTCAAAAATTATTTTGTAAATTAACTTTTAAAAATTGATTTTTAAAACAAAAAATTTGTTTGATTATGATAATTTCAAAATAAATTTAGAATTTAAAAATTGACCTATAATAGTAATTGCCAATGATTAATGGTAGTTGCTTTTGATTTGATTGTAATTAAATTAAAGATAATTGAAAGAATTATATTTAAGGATTTGATTAAAAAAAATTTATCTGCAGACAAATATCAATATAGAATGTATTGTTAAAATAAGAACATTATTTCTTATTAGCCCTTGTCACAAATGCAATTTTGTATTCCTGACACTAGTTCAATGACTGAGGTGTCATTATGTCATTGGTCTGTCACAAATGAGCTCGACATATTGAAGCATGTGAGAGTTTTTTTTTTTTGCGCCTTGACACTAGTTCAATGACTGAGGTGTCATTATGTCATTGGTCTGTCACAAATGAGCTCGACATATTGAAGCATGTGAGAGTTTTTTTTTTTTGCGCCTTGACACTACTTCAATGACTGAGGTGTCATTATGTCATTGGTCTGTCACAAATGAGCTCGACATATTGAAGCATGTGAGAGAATTTTTTTTTGGCCTTGACACTAGTTCAATGACTGAGGTGTCATTATGTCATTGGTCTGTTGCAAATGGGCTCGACATATTGAAGCATGTGAGATTTTTTTTTTTTTGACCTTCTGGATTGCCAGCTTGCCACCCCCGTATACTATTCATTCAAAGGTTCCGAAAATCTCGCACACGACTGAATTCATAGAATAAGAGCTTTAAAAATCTTTGATTTATGCAATATTGAGATCTCTGTTCTTTTAGGTCTAGACTCACGTCGCGAACAAGTTCGGAAGCGATTCTGAACCGGCGTCGCTTCCCCACTCTCCGGTCCTGCAGGTAAAGTCTAAAAGTTAATTCCCTATGTATATGTATATATATATATATATATATATAATATCATACCTGCATCATCGTAAAATTCTTTACCATAATTTCTTCAGTAACGAACAGAATCCCGGGCTTGAATATATATAACTGTTCTTTTCTGATCGGCGATATTTCCAACACGTCTTCGGAAAAGATCAAATAAATTCTGGGTCTATATGTTGATCTTATTTTCTCTGGGGTTTTGATCTTCACAAGAAAGAGGGATAATTCAGTTGCACGCTCTTGCTCACGGTGGCGCACCGACAACGGTCAGGCTAGTTCTCGAGGTTCGTGGCCCATGTCGACAGCGCCGCCGATGAGGAAGAATCATTGAACAAAGCTGTGGCGGTACAGAACTTGTGGCCGGTGTAGGCACATACGGTGGTGGCTTCACAACTTATGGTTACTGTGGTTTTGGCTCGTACGGTGGGGACACAACCGGTGGAATAGGAATATAAGGTGGTGGCTTCACAACCGGAGGCTTCGGCACATACTGTGGTTTCATGAGCGGTGGTTTTGGCTGACACGACGGCGACACAACTGGTGGCGGCGGCTTCACAACATGAGGTGGTGGCTTCACAGCCGAAGACTTTGGCACATACGGTGGTTTCACGACCGGTCGTTTTGGCTGATATTGTGGCGACACAACTGGCGGCGGCAGCTTCGCAACATAAGTTGGTGGCTTCACAGCTGAAAGCTTCGGCACATATGGTGGTTTTGGCTGATACGGTGGCGACAAAACTAGTGGCGGCGGCTTCACAACATAAGGTAGTGGTTTCACAGCCGAAGGCTTCGGCACATACGGTGGTTTCACGACCGGTGGTTTTGGCTGATAAGGTGGTGATGGCCGAGGAAAGCTGGGAAGGGAAATGGGCGGCTGACAGTTCCATAATTAAATTCATCATTTTTACTTGTTCAACATCCAAGCCATATGTGCGGGTTAAATCATAATCATAATGTTCTTTCATTTCTAGCTAGTTATAAGAATTAATTGGTCATATTATATATGCAGGGACGATGAGTTGATCAAATAATTCCAAGGGAAAAAAGTGCATCGGAGACCATTTAGGCTATGGAAGCGGGCATGTTTCTGATAATAACAAGGAAAATAAACCATCCGAGAGCAAGAAAATCTGCATAGGAGATCGTTTAGGTTATGGAAGCACTTATGTCTCTGGTGATAATGGAAACAAACCATCAAAAGGAAGCAGCAAGAAGCCAACCATAGGGGACCTGATAGGCTACGGCGAGAAGCCACCTCCGACCAACAAGTAAACAATGCTTCTCCATCATCACTACTCCGACCTCGTCACGCTGATTCTCAAAGCTACTATTTACATGTTTCCTTTTGTGTCAGGCTGCTTGCTGTGTGGTGATGTTGTTGTTTATGTTCTATCCTTTTCCTTTTGCTCTAAGTTTCAGCGTTTTTCTTAGATTTACCTGGTGGACTTCAATGGTTGGGAAAATGATAATCAGTTTCCCTTGTCTCTATATATAAAGTGTTTCTTAGATTTACCTGGTGGACTTCAATGGCTGTGGGTGTTTCTTCTCTCAAGGCATGGCAACAAAATGGAAACGTGGAAGGAACCGGACCATTTTCGTGGGACCCACATGCATAGCTCATGCATGCGCTTTCACATGTCCAAAAACTACAGCCCCATTTGTATCTTTCATCTTTAAATAATAAGCAATAAAAGTATTTTAATATGAATAAAATTATAAAATATTGTTTAAATTTAAACTTATATACGAATTACACAAATTAAATTTTTTCTCATTATTTTAATTCAGGGGGAAATGAAATTTTTAGTTCCTAATATTTTCCTCATTTATTTTTTTTTGATTCTTTAAGTTTAATTTTTATCATCTATTTTTTTAAAATTTTTAAAATAATCAATAAGAGAAAATAAAAAATCAAATAACTTATGAAAATATTTCCAACCGTCAGTTCCTTCGACTTTTCTATTTTGTCCAAAAGCCAAGTCAAAACGAGGGACAAAGCATGGTTTGATTTCCATACATCGTCAAAACAAGGCGCTTTCTACTTGACCATGCATTATATTGCTAAGCAGGGAACCAAACCCTTTCTTTTATTTGTGGCTTTCTCTTCACTATCTTTTCATGGCAAATTTGAACAATTCAAATTAAATTTATATTTTTAAAAATTATTAAACCTAAATCACCAAATTTAATTTAGCAGTCTAGATTGACAGTAACTCCTCATCTGCTCTCCTTGTAAAGGAGGAAACCCCAATCCCTTCTCTCATGTGTAAAGGAGAACATTATATTGCAAGCGCAAGCACGTACACATTCTTATTGTCTCCCACACATTTCACAATCAATAATAAAAGAAAGCCATATGGTTTATATTTGTTGCATGAAGCAATCTCACCAAGCTACTTATCTAAATTAATTAAGCTGATTATTCTCACTTTTTTTCACATGAGTGGGTCGCAGCGGGGAGATCACTTACACCCCACATACGAATTTTAGATGAAAAATTGTATATTATTTAATTTTCATGTTATAATTTTTAGACTATAAAGGTTTCTGCCTTTTCATGGATTATAACTTTTGAAATACTAAAAATATGATAATTAAATTATAAAAAGTTGTTTTGGCTCCATCTGACCAAATAAACACGAATGACCAACGTAATGATATAAAAACAAAAAGCATTAGAATAACATTCTCACTCCTACAATTTCCTTAATCATTAAAAAAAAAAGGACAAAAAGGAGTAAAATATAAAATATTGGCACCCATCTTCTCCAGTTTTTACGCTGTTCCCCTATATCTTCCCAACCTCATTCTGTCAAATCAATATTTATCATCTGTTTATCTTTTATTTTTTAATTAACTACATATTTTAACAAAAACGAATTATGTGCCCGTTTGGTTTCCATCAAGAATCAATTTTTTGGGGTTTAATCGATTTTCAAAACAAAATTTGCCAAACAACATAACAATGACATAATCAATTAAACATGCTGAAATCGATTTTTTGGTTAATCTATTCATACCTGCTTCTGGTTTCCATTTTACCATGTTAATAATAAATAATTTGTAAATAATTCATAATTGTGTTAAATAAAATTTAACAAATTTATTAATATTAAATGCAACTTTATTAATAATTTAATTTTAAAAAGCAATGTATTTTATGATAATTTACACAGTTAAAATTAATTTCAATATCCAAACAGGTTGCATTATAACATAATCAATTCTGATTAAAATCTATCACTTAATTAATTATTTTTGTAATATATTATATCCAACTGAAATCCAAACGAACCCTATATATATTAAAATTATATCAAAAAATATAAAATAAAAAGTAACAATTTGAACCCCCGCATTGATCTTCTGATTGCAGTATCCAAGAAAATTCTGGGCTAGAACAGTAATCTTACATTAAAAAAAAATGTAGCAAATTGTACCATTCGGACTGATTTATAATGGTAATTGTGAAATGGGACTTTAATTTGAACCTAACTCTCAGTGAGATACAATGCTCCCAGGATAAGTTGACGAAAGAGAGGTTTCGAAAATCGGGGAGCTCAGTTATGATAGCCCACCACATATAGGACTTGTTTGATTTCGTTCCAGTTTTTTTAAAAATTATTTTATAACTAATTTTTAAAATTGTTTTTCAAAATATAAAATTATATTAATTTTAAAATAATCTTAGAATTAAAAATTAGTCAATAATGGAAATCACCAGTGATTAATAGTAATATAATGCAATCAAAGAGTTTTCACACACCAAAAACAAAGATAGCAAAAGACATGAATGAGCGAGCCAGTGAGGAGACAAGCCGCGAGAACCTTTCACATTTGGATACCAGTGATCGTCGGAAAAGTGGGATCAACTCAGGAACTCGGTTTATCGTGGATAAAAATTACACGTGACAAGTGGTCCGCAAGATGAAATAGAAAGAAAAAATTTATATAAAGTTATAAACTATCCCTAACCCTAACCAAATACCCCGTGATGCAAGTGGAAGGTAATGACATTAACGTACTATCCCCATCTCGAATTATAAAATTTTTTTGGAGGTGATTTGTTGTTTTAAATATAAAATAATTTCATAAAAATGAGGTTTTATTAAATGTATCATTTAAATATTACCCTACTCTCATTATCTTCCTCTCTAATCATTTAAGATTATATTAAATGAAGGGTAATTTTAAACATTTATAATTTTGACTTGAAAATATCATATTGTAAAGTGTATTTAATAATTTTTTTTAGTATTCATTCATAATTTTGTCTGATTTGTCTTGTAAATTAGGATAGAGGAGTGCTTTTTGAAAAATTATAGTTATTTTTATAATATTTATCCCTATTAAAAATCAAAACATGTAAAAATTGAAGTGGTAAAGACAAAAATGCATAAAGTCTAATAAAATATATGAAAAATAAGGAATAAGGAAGCATGCATGAATGAGGGTGATTAGAGTGGGAATTAAACTGGTGATTATGTGGTCAAGATCGGAGAAAGCACGATCCAATATTTTGGAAACTAGACTCATTGCACTGATGTAAGTACATTATTATGATAAAAATCGTTCAAGGAAAATTGTATCAATTCAATAGTGTTGATTATGATAATCAAAATATCCAAATTTTTTCCTATATAATTAACGATTTATTAAAATTTGGGTAGCCTCCTCTTTCTAAGGTGATATATCGTTGACTGATCAATAAACTGAATTCAAATTAGCTCTCAATTGCTTTAGGAAATTAAAACATGGTTACTTATTGTTGACTGATGAAGGAAGGAAGACGATATTGCTTTAAGAATTTTGATTTGGTAGAGGATTATCCAGACTTCAGTCCTTGTTGACATCCCTTTGTTATAAGATTAATGAATGAATGATGATGACGACATCCCTTACAATGCGTATGAAAGCATGCATTCCTCTCTACAAATTTCTGAAGAGAACGATGAGGAAAAAAATATCTCAGATGTTAGTATTATGGTATTTTCGTAGTTTTTTCGGCTTTCCCATGTACCCACAACATGTAATAGTGAGTTTTAAGACATTTGAATTTAGACGTTATTGGAATTGTGTTGATGATCTGAAAGAGTACAAAGTTTATGAGACAGAAGAAGGGTTCAGATCAAAGTTGAAAGTTTTTCAGAGATCCGGGGTATATTGCTGCATTTATAACTTCTGATATCTTTTAATGCTGTGTAATAGTTTGTTTAATATCTATTTTTAGGTACATGAGTTGATTTTTAATCAGGGGTAACGTGATATTGCTTGATGGGATAGCTGATGAAACGTTCAAGATTTACGATAGAAGGCACGACAAAGTTAAAGTTATACTGATTCAATTCTGTCCAGTACTATGCAATGAAGGTCTACTCTTGTTATCTTGAAGTTAGTTGGAGTCCCTCAGCTATTATGGTGTTATTAATTTGACTCTCTGACATCAGTTATTTAATCTATCCAGTTTCCAAGTGTAAAATAAAAAAATTTAAATTAAATTAAATGAATAAAATGAAAAATGGAAGAATGGGTTTTTTTATAACAAAACATAAAAAATATCTTCATAAATCAAATTTAAAAAATATTTTCCTTTTCTGTGACCACCAATCTCCACAATTATGATCCTGTCAAATTAAATTTGTTCATTTGAATCTCAAATAATGAAAGTGAAAGAAATCGAGAAGGAAAAATATACCTTGAGTCATTAATTTGCATGCACGAATGCGGGAATAAAGTTACACCAGTCAAACTTCGTTCGGATACAC